TAATTTACAATAATTTAACAATCATATCGATTTTAGCATTAATATGGACATTACATAGATCAAAATAGAAATTATGTGTTTGACATTTTCTGACAGCTACTGCGGAAAGTAGCATATTCTCACTTGGGTGGAAAGTAAATTCTTATTCATACGCGTGTGATATAGGGCACTTTCCATAGGTCTATATAGTGTGATATGTGTCACTTTCCTAAGTGGTCGTAGGAAAAAATATGAATAGTTTTATAGTTATTCATTTAAAAAGGGTACACACAAAAACGTTTTAGTTCATCTTGTATCAAATGCAAAATTTGCCCTTTTTATGATACTGGGATTGGATAAAAAGTAACTAAATTAATTTAAATCCGTTATTATAAAATAATCACAAGTTTTTATTTACCGCCTAGGTCATATCGTCGTTAACAAGACGAAGAGGCGTATCTCAAAATTACAAAATTTGAGTAATTACAGTTTAAAGATTTTTATTAACTTTAATCTGAATTTTTTTTAACTTAAAAATTGCTTAAAAAACGCTAATAACAAAATATTCTATCAATGCCAATATACAGGGTGTTTCATAATATATGCGCAGGACTTTAGGACGTGTTAGCTCGTCCAAAACTATGAAAAAAACGTTTCTATTAACTTACCCTCTAAAATGCACCATTTTCGAGAAATAGGGTGGAAAAAGTACGGTCTTGACCATTTGAACCGCCAATGTTTTCTACACAAAAAAGGTACTCTTGGTCATACGCTCTAAAGTCGACCGTTTTCGAGAAAAATCAAATTTTAATGTTGAAATACGTATTTCAACATTAAAATTTGATTTTTTTTTTTCAATTTCAACACCCTGTATCTCGAAAATGGTGCATTTTAAAGGGTAAGTTAATAGAAACGTTTTTTCATATTTATGGACGAGCTATCACGTCCTGAAGTCCTGCGCGTTATATTATGAAACACCCTGTATAAAGTATATAAATATACAGTGTGTCTACTTAAGTTGGAACCATATGGAAAACATTTTTATTATTGATTTTAGGAAAAAAAGTTATTCTTGATAAAAAGTCCTGCATGACCCAATACTTAAAATACAGTCATCAGATATCAAATTTTTCAAGCCGTATACGAGGTTTGTCAAAAAATATGAATTTTGCTCAAGAGTAAAGTACGTTTATTTTTTTACAAAATCGTAAATGTTCATTAAGAAATTTGCTAAATTCTTCACAAACATCAACAAAAGGAAAGCGTATCATGTTTATAGTAGCTAACGTAATTTATACCGTTTTCAGATATTTACAATCAATGTGTAGAGTGTAGAGTTTATAAAAAATAAGAAAATCTGTTTTTTCAGATAGATCGGTGTAATTGCATATTTGAATGTAATATTCAATTCTAATCAACTTTTCTTAATGAAAATTTTCGATTTTGTCAAAAATAAACGTACTTTACTCTTGAGCAAAATTAATATTTTTTGACAAACCTCGTATACGGCTTGAAACATTTGATATGTGATGACTGTATTTTAGGTTTTTGGTCATGCAGGACTTTTTATCAAGAATAACTTTTTTTCCTAAAATCAATAATAAAAATGTTTTCCATATGGTTCCAACTTAAGTAGACACACTGTATATAAATTCCGAAAACGCCTTTTGATGGACCTAACTCAAATCCAGAAATTTTTGAGATTCGCCCCTTTGTCATGTTAGCGACGATATGTATAAATCCTTAAAACAGGATGCCTAAATAATAATAATTAAATTTTTTCAGGTTATTAATATCCCTTATTATAAACTATCTATTATATCAAACTCAGCTTTTTACACAACTTCTTTCTATTTAAATTACATTGTTGCACAATTATATATACTGGGTATATCCGAATTAAGGGACAAATCTGCTACAGGAAACTTCTACTGTCAAATTATCAAATGCTTATATGAAACATTGGGGACATTCTAATAGTTAAAGCCCCATTTCTGACGTAAAAAAGAAATTTTACATAGCGACGTGCACTAAGATTTAAATTTTGCCCTTAGCTTGGCATTATATCTTAAAATAACAACCCCCCACCCTTCACCCTAATTGAACTATTGTTAAATACAAATTTTTTCCCTCTCAATTTTTTTCATTCTTAACTTGATTTATGGAAAAAGTTTTGTATTATTTTTCCACTAATATGTTCTACGAGCTCGCGACTGGTATATTTTTCTTTTTAGTAGAAAATGAATTTTAACTTTAACAGTACATTTTCGGACATTATTACCTAATTTCACAGTAAGATTTTTCTGTAAGAATGTATTGCCTTAGTTCAGAAACACCCTGTATCTATATTTGGATTACATAATATATAATTTGAAAAATACAGGGTATTTTTGAAAATCATGTACATATTAAAACGGATAGTAATATTTAGTCGTCTTTTCTCAATCATTATTCTAGACTTTGGTATGTCAAAGAACGAACAAAAAATTAAGGTATTAGAATTTACCAGATAACATAAAAATCCTTTGTTATTCATATACTTTTTCTAACAAAAATAAAACAATCTTAAAAATCAAAAATAATAATATTAGCAATATTATTACTTCTATATATACCGCCTATCAAAATCGAAACAATTTGGCCACATTGTCAATAATAGACCCACTAGATAGCTACTGACATTGAATTATACTAGGCATAATGGCCTATTTAAATAAATAAATCATTTCTAACTTTGCTACTTCAACAAAGGAGTAAACCACTGCTGAGTAAAATGTACACACCTAGTACACTAATGGTACATACACAAATAGAACTCAGTACACCAACGCTACAATGCCTGAACATGTAGGCAAATCTCCCTCTTTATCTATTAGATTTAAAAAAGTTATTTACGGGCCCTTAGGTGATTGTCATAAACAATGTGAGTGGGATAAATGCTTTGCACACATGTATAAGAATATTTTAACATAATGTTACATAAAATATATTGTGTGTTAACAAAGAAATGTATAAATCATTTTTAATTTAACTTATTTATATTGACAATAATTAATGGTCTAATTAGTGAGACTAATCTAGCCATTTCTTCGATATCTGAAGTTGTATTTAACATATCAAAGTCTGATGAACCTGGATCTAAATGCCTAATTAAATTTCAAATATTCTGACACTAAACAAACTGTCAATTCATAGAATTCGACACAAGTAAGTATTACAAGGACAATGATATTTTTTTGCAACAAATTTTGTTTGACATTTCAAATCTAGAGTTGTTTTTAAATAAAATGTGTTTTACTTTACTAGGCTCAACAGAAAGAGAGCGGCCCTCGTATGTTCAAAAAGTAGGTGCCACAAGATGAGTCAAGTCAGTTCAAATCGGTTATTGAGTGATTTGGAGTGGAACAGGATTTTAATTTTAAGGCTTAATGTTTGGAGTCAAAAGTGGAAATGAAGTATGAATAGATGACATAAGGGTAGTTACTTTGTGCACACTTGTCACTTTACTGAGCATGTATATATCACCTTTTTGTTGTATTGTGGGAAATTGCCAGCTTTGCCAATGGTAATTGATGTAGAAAAGTGTTTTAAATAAAAAAAAAATGTATTTTCCAATATTCATATTCAAATATTGTTAAAAGATTACACTTCCATGAAGAAATTTTGCTGGGGTAACCCCAATATTAATTAATTTTTTTTAAATAACCTTAATTTTTTTTAAATAAATTCCAGCCATCGATGGTAATTTAAATTGAATAACTAAATACCTATATTTCAGCTTAAGATGTATCTGTTTTGCAGTGATTTTGACATTTTTTTTATGAATTTATTTCAACATTTAAAAAGCGTTTATTTTGAAGTTTTGCTGACTAATATCCTACCAGCTTTATCAAGACTGAAATAAACTTTTTTTAGAAAGTATTGTGTGGTACTACTCTCAATCATAAGTACTAGATATTGAATACCAATTTTCTATTCGTTCTAAATGGTATTTCATTTTAAAAGATATGGTTTGTTCGTCTGTATTTCTAATACCTAACTCTTGATATATTACTGTTGAATTAATATACATTCACGCCTAGAGACGTCTCTGTAATTTGCATTTTCTTGTCAACGTCACAAGCATTGCGCGTCCGCTTCGTTCTCGTCCGCGTCACTGCTACTAAAAGTCATCGAGACCACACGCGTTTGCCGCGACAATAGGGGACGCTCTGTCCGCCATCATGTAACATTTAATTTTTCAAGTAATATGGCTTAAAGTAACAAATTTCTTAGAGAAATGCTGTGAATAAAGTAAAAAGCGTTTATTCAGAAGTAAATCATGTATAGTGTTAAATCAAATCATTCCATCATTGTTTTAAAATAAGTGTTCAATCAAAAGGTAATCTATTAATCCAAGAATCTATATCTCCCCGATCACACAGGTATTTCAACTTTTTTATTTCTACAGTTCATGAATAGTTAAGGGCCAAATGTTGGTCATATCTCATATATGGCGCGAAAACACCGATAGAAGCCTGTATATCAGTCAAACCGCGACAATTACAAATACACTGACTCACGATTTTGCTTTATAGGTACATATTACCTGAGGTGTTACCCAATGTATTCCAATTTAGTTTATTAATATTTTATTACATGCAATGGTTAACCTTGAAATTCCCTGATGATTTTTCCATCTATAATATACTTTTAGTGCACCATAATACACTAATATATAGTAGTACTCTAGTAGTACACTTAGAATACACAAAGGACACCATTAGTACACATTGCTTGTACACCAATGGTTTACCCCTCATTCTAAACATAGCAGTAGCGTGCCTTCATTTTAAAGTTGATATTTAAAACTTAATAATGCCTATTTTTAAGAAATCATATTTTTGTACCATCTATAAGGCTTAAATATTAATCAGTTTTAATATGTACATGTATTTCAAATCGTCGCAATTTTACTTGGGTCAGGTTTGGAAAATGACAAATTAAAATTTGATCGAAAAATTATTGTGAAGGAAACTTACTATTTTGCAGAATCTGTGAGTTGGTACTCTCTGCGCCTATCGTAACATTCTTGAATGCCGGCATCTGACCAGAGGTCTTTAATGGCTTCCACGTAAGGACTTTCAAATGTGGTGACAGTTTCATAATCAATTCCCTTTATCAACTCTGCTTTTTCCTGTAACAAAGTAAAGGTTTTAGGTTTACATATCATATTATACCTTTATATTTACATTTAAAAATGAAGTTTTTCTTTTATAAACATCTTATTATTGTTTTTACTAACCTGATTGGATGAATCTCCATAACAAATCTTGAGGAGATCCATGGCCTTGATCATACTCTGCATGGCCATGAAGATGTTTTGGTAGACAAGCTTGATAAAGCCCCTTTTATCCTCGTCAGAATAACCGGCACCATGGATGATTCGCATCTGTTTAATAAATGTTGACTTCCCGGACTCACCAGTACCTGAAATATAAAAATTAACAATAATTCTCTGTTATACTACCTAGAGCTATTTATCTTATATAGAATACCTTTTCGTTTAAAAATTGTAGATATGTATAAAAAACATAAGATTATTAAAGGGGTAGATGGTTCAGTGGTTAGAGTGTGCACTTTTCAATCCAAGAGTTTGAAGTTTGGATCACACTAGGGACCACATTTTAACGAATATACAATCTTTGAAAAAAAATTCGTATTCTAGAAAAATGTAGTTTTTAATAAAAGCATGTAGGGCACTTGGTCAGAAAATTTCACACCTAAATTACTTACCTAGGAATATGAAAAAAAAAAAAAAAAATAATTTAAAATAAGTTTAGTTTATTATGTAATGAATAATATAAGTTAATTAAAATAAAAAAAAAAAATTATAATTTTATTATTTCATTTAGCATATAGCATACAACATTTTTAATGTGCTAAAGGGCTGAAATATGTCATGAACCCACATGTAACCAAATGAGACATTATAATATTAATTAAGGACGCCACAGCACTTCCGGTTTTTGATTCAATGATTTAAATGTGAATTTTAGTTAATCCTTTCCTACGTAGATGTAGCTACACTCTTTAACCTCCATATTTTGTCCATTATATCGCAAAAATCGGCCAGCTAAATAATATACGCAACATACTCCTATTTTATGTTTTCAAATAAGTTGGTCTGGTGAAAAAGATTTGTCAACACGGCATATTTATTGAAATATATTATTAGGCAGTCTACCAATTCTTTAGCGAGGTTTTTCTCGTTTAAGGTGAATTAAATATTTAGCTGTCTAATTAGGGTAGCAGCAGGTACTTGGGATAATCCGATTAAATAATAATCAAGAATTTGTTAGTAGCACTGACCTTCCCTAATCTATTATAAATAGGTAGGTATATTTACCCCTATTTCCAAATAATGATTGAAATAAATAAGTATATGTATGGGCTATTTGTTTTATTTATTTTAGTTATGTGTATTTTTGGATCTTTTGAGACTAGAGCTTACATAGCAGCACTCAGATACAATTTGGGAATTTGCTCGGAGGAAAGTGTCTGGGAAAATGTGACGCAAAGATCAGCAGGTGAAAATTTTAAAAAATATTTAAAAAACCTTAAAGACAATCATGACTGTCACAAGAAAAGACGAACCGGTTGTAAAAAAAAATCAAAAACCAACTTAAAAAGATCCGAAACAGATTATGGCAATTCCGTGCCAACTGCAACAATTTCTAATGAAAACTATGAGTCTGAGGTATCACGAATTTTAAAGAGGATGCAGGTAAATATTTTACAACTCGTTTTATATGTATAAATTATATACTACGTTATATTATATGTATAATTTAAAATATTTTACTTTTAGGTTTCAATGGAGGACATTATTTTAATAGAAAGTAAAACAAGGGGACAGTGGGATAATCCTCAATACAGAAGTGAAAGACGAAACCGATTAACTGCATCTGTATTTGGGGAAGTTGTGAAGAGGAGGAAAACTACTCCTTGTCATAACCTAGTAAAAAAAATCCTTTACGAAACCAATTTCACGTCAGAAGCCATGTTATATGGTAGAGCTAATGAAAGTGTTGCTTTGCAATTATTTTGGAAGAGAAGAGCATCTGCAAATATTAGAACATGCGGCATATTTGTAGACGAAGTGCATGGGTTTTTGGCAGCCTCTCCTGATGGTAATGTATAAGAAATAATATACATATACGTCATGTCATTTTATTAATCATATTAATTTTATTATTTTTTTATAGCTCTTTTAGGGGATAATGCCATTATTGAAATAAAATGCCTTCATAGTGTTCACAAATCAAAAAAAAAAACACGCAGTAGAAAAAAAATCTACAATGTGCTTGGAAATAAAAAATAATATGCTGTCGTTAAAGCGAAATCATAACTACTATTACCAAGTGAGAATTTGAAATCATTTGCCTGAATATTTTTTCATCTTTCAGTATTTTTATATTTGCACGAAAATAAAATTATTTATATGTGTTTTTAGCGTTAAATAAAAATAATAGTAGCATTTTTTTTTTTCAATTCATATTTTTTTTTTAGATGTTTTTTATAGTTTACATAAACGACGAACAACCCCTACATATAGAAGTCATTCTAAAAATGTTTGGCAGAATAATGTTTTACCCAAATTACTAAATTTTTATAATCAGTATGTAATGCCAGAGATTGTGTACAGGAATATTCCAAAACGACTGAAAGCCAGAGAGGCCATTTGAAAAGAATATTTTGTTATTTATTTACATACCTATTTATTGAATTAAATAAAGCTTTTACTGGATACTTAGAAATTTTTCATTTTATCCTTCCTAATAAAAAACATTTTTGAAGAGTAAATGAAAGAATCATGAGTGTTATTTTAACTGATTTTTTTTTGAAACCATGAACTGGAGCAAAAAGATATCAGTGTCACTAATAGCCTAATAAATATATTATTACATTACTGGCCTTCAAAGTAGCATCACTTTATTGCATTGATGAATATTTCTCTCATGATAGTTAACATATTGAATAACCAACTCATGCCCATTTTGCCGAATTCACACTTTATTTACAAAAAAAAAAAACTCAGCATACATTTAAAAAATTTCATCTTTAGTACAAACTTTTGTTTTTCCTCGTATAAAGACATTTATTTTAAATATTGGTTAATTTAGATTTTAATTTTAGACAAAGCACCAAATTTTATTAAAAATTCGTCTTAATAAGAAAACGTTAAAAAATGAGTCTCCCTGTATATATAATTTATATTTGTGTAAATTGTAAATAACCATATTAATATAGTTTTGTCTAAATTCAAGACAATTTTAAAATATGGCAACACGGCGCCGAAGCTTTCGCTACTTTTGCTTCATCGGACATCTATAATTTAGGTCCTGAACTAAAAAACAACATGGACGTAGTGAAATTATCAATTTTAGATGGAATCGTATTTTGTACAGAACTTAAAAAGTACGCAACATTGATTATTAAAATTTGGCAAGAATATTCAGAAAAATATGTAGAATGCTATAAAGTTTTTTGAACTACATCTGTGACTATCACTTTTTTATATTTTTTAATAAATAGCAGGACAAATGAAAATGTCTCATCTCAATCATTAAACATTTTTCTATAATCTGCCAGTTTCATTAAAATCCATCCAGTGAAAAATAAGTTCTGTAAAAAATCGTAAACCTATGTTTTGACCACGTAAAATACACTGAAATGGCGCCCTTAATGAACATATTTTCAATCATAAAATCAAAAATTACAACTTTCAGTTGCTGAAACAAAACATATGGCTAAAAAACCTATCTGCTTTTCTTTTAAGATACAAGTTCAATTATATATTTTTTTACCCAAATAAAATAAATCTCAGATTCTTTACAATCCAAAATATATCCTATTCAATAAATAACTATATAAGATTTAAACTGTATTATAAAGAGTGAAGCTAAAAATCTTTCTAAAATAGATCATGGCGGAGATACAAGATATGCGCGGCTCTGAATTAAAACCAAACTGACAAAAATAAGTGCAAGGCCTACTTTAGAAACATTTTTTGTTGATCACTCCATATAAAAACATCTATAAAATAGTTTTTGGATTATAGCCATTTATCAGGGAGTAATTTATTAGAGATAGTGTGTACTCAGAAATTTCAAATGAATCTTGAATCCCAAAAGATATCAAACATTTTCTGAAAAAGTCAAATTATAAATTACCAATTATTCTTTGTAAATTTTCTGCAACATATTTATGATTTGCATACAAGCCTACTATTAGTGAGTTTGGTATTACAGCTCAGAGATACAACTGATAAAGATATTAATGTTGAATCTTTGATTTTCAAGGAACCTGAGTTTATGTTTATTTCCTGAAGGCTTTGGCATATTTTGCTTGTCTTCTATCAAAACATAGGTTAATTGTGATTTGATTATTAAAATTTTAAATAAATCATTCAATACAAATATTAAGCATATGCCATTCCCCTCCCCTCCATCACTCTAACCAATACAATTTAAATAATGAATGTGCCAAGTATGACACATTGAAAAGGTTATTTTAGGGAGAATTCATCAATGTCGGTGGGATAAAAAACTGTGACACTTCATTTGAAAGCTAATTTAATTATTAATAAAGTTTGTATTTCTTAAGGTACCATTTCGGTAGGCGCGACAGACGACAAGCGACCACTGAACTGACACCAAGGTCAAGTAGGACAACAGGTGCATAAATTTTACCCTTCGTAACCATTCGAGGGAACAATCAGCGTTGCCAGACCTACTATTTTCACGTAGATCTACTGTTTTTGTCTCTAGCAAATTTTGTTCTTAATTTATTAAGTTTGCCTCATTCTTCAGCAAATGGGTAAAGAATATTTTCTCTAGTAAATTTTCTGCAGTAAAAGCAGCGTAATAAGCATCCACTACTGTAGGTTGGCTCCATAAAAAAAAACATCAAGATAATCATTGTTTTTATTTAAAATGAAACAAAGAATTAATAGGGCATCATAAAAAGAACATGCATATACCAAACAGAACGATTTTGAATTATCTAATTCAGACTGATCTAAAAGAAGTAGGTACTTATTATTTTTCATTGGTTTTTTTCCCGTACATTAAGTATATATTAAAAATGTTTTTATTCTTTGTTTACTTTCTAATTTGGGTAGAAAAAAGTTTATTTTTCGTATCTTATATACTTGTTTTTTTTATTTACTACACTGCAAATTATAATTATTTTCCCCTTTATTAAAATCAACTGTACAGATCTACGGTTTTGTTTTACCCATACTGTTTTAAAATCTGGCAACGCTGCCTAGATCGAAAGAAATTTCCGACCGAATCACCCCCAAAAAAAAAGCGATGCCGAGGACAGTGACCTCGAGTGCGATACGCAGCAAAGCTTTCACCGAGAAGTGTCTCCACGGCACTTCTCGGTCGTGTCGCGCCGTGCGAAATGCGTGTTATATAATTGTATGTATTTTAGATGTGAAGCGACACTTCTCGGTCCTTTAATGTTAGAGCTCTGCAAGGTTTTTTAATTATTTAAGGTGATGTTTCATTCGATTATATTTTCTCACATTGGTAATTTAATTATCAATAATTAGCTTTACAAAACGTAACATTTTTTATCCCACTAGAGGGATCTAAAATTAAAAGTAATGCTATTAATGGGTGTGAAGTTATCCACATCCACAAATGTACATTGAGAAAAATATAGCTCCATTGTAATAGTCATATAACTTGGTTCAAATGACATGGTTCATTTGCATATTTCAATTGGGGAGGTTTCAATACATAACAACCATACCCGCAATTAGCTTTTGGTCCGTCTGAGAGGGTACAATTGGGGGTGAAATTAAAAAAAAAACATAGAAGCCACAAATGGCATTGTACAACTTTCAGCTTGGGATATGTTATGTAGTTTGCTAGTTTCTTCATCCCTGATACCATGCTGGAGTTTGTAGAGGCAACTGAGGGGGTGCAATTGGGGGTAAAATTTAACAAAAAAGCATAAAAGCCATAAATGGCACATCTTTCTACTTGGGATATGTTATGTAGTTTGCTATTTTCTTCATTCCTGATACCATGCTGGAGTTTGTCGAGCCGTCCGAGGGATGCAATTAAGGGTGAAATTTAAAAAAAATCATAGAAACCACAATTGGCGTTATGCATCTTTCTTCTTGGGATATGTTATGTAGTTTGCTCTTTTCTTCATCCCTGATACCATGCTTGAGTTTGTCGAGCCGTCTGAGGGGGTGTAATCGGGGTGAAATTCAACAAAAAATCATAGATAGTAGAAATTATAATTTAGGTACAGAAAATACATTAAAAAAAATAATTCAAAATATACTTTATATAAAATAAAAATGTGTTTTCTCTAAAACAAAATTATTCCTGAATTAAAACATAATATCACACAAGTACATTATAATGTAGGTACAGAAAATACATAAAAAATATAAATCAAAATATACAATACAATATCTCTATTTACCTTAGAAAATATTACATTTTATGGCTCGTCAAATTACAATTAAAACTAAATATATATATAATAAAATTTACCTAAATATAATAATATAAAAATATAAAATTGAAATTTACAAACATTTACAACATAGTTCACTGAATCACAGTGACAGCCTCCATCCTCCATCTGTATTGATTTAAATTCCTCTAAGCTATATAGGCAATTATTGGATAACATTTGTTTTAATGCATGTTTAAATTTATCTATAGGCTGATTTCTAAAATTAAGTGGTAGTATATTGTATAGCTCAATATAATATTTCTTTGTCCTTTCCAGTCTATACTGGATAGGGACTGTTATCTTTGTGCCTTGTATTATAGTTATGGATATCAGAATGAGAAAAAAATGTGTTAATATTATTTCTTATGAATAGAAGGTTTTGATAGATTATTACTACATAGTGTCATAATTTTAAGTTCTGGGAATACTGGTCTACAACTGGCTTGCTAAGAAGCAGGTGTTATGGCTCTTATGGCTGATTTTTGCAAAATAAAGACTCTTGAGATGTGTGTCAGCAGCATTGCCCCAACATATTGTCCCGTATGTCAAATGACTATGAAATAGAGCATAGTAAGCAGTAATTGCTGCATCTTGACCAAGTATTTGGCATATTTTCCTGATAGCAAAAACTGCTCGTGATAATTTGGAACAAAGTACTTCAATTTGAATGCCAAGTGTTTTAACAGAATTGTTATTAACTTGTTCACTATTTACTGTAAATAATTGGGAGTTTTTGTGTCATTTAAAAACAGGTCGTTTACAGGAAACCACCTCTTTGCCTGAATCATGACATCAGAGTAAACTAGATCATGATCTGTTCCTCTTTTAATATTAATACAAAAAGAAGTATCATCAGCAAATATACATGTGATAAGGTTTTCAAAATTCATATGGTCAGGAAGATCATTAATGTATATAAAAAGAGTAATGGACCTAAAATTGAGCCCTGAGGGACACCTCTCCTGATATGCATCAATGAACTTTTGCAATTTTCGATGATGACTGTTTGACATCTGTCAGTTAAATAAGATTCAAAAAGCTGTAAACAAATCCCTCCTACTCCATACCTCTACAGTTTTGATAATATAATTGAATGATTCACACAGTCAAAAGCAGATCTTAGATCTGTAAATACACCTAAACAGTTTTCAGCTTTTTCAAAACAATTTTCTATATATTTTACTAGAGATAATGCTGCATCTATTGTAGATCGCTTCCTTCTAAAACCATACTGGAATGGCATGAGTATATTGGATGCATAAAAGAGCAAACTACATAACATAACCCAAGCAGAGAGGTGTACAAAGCTATTTGTGGCTTCTACGATTTTTTTTTAATTCCCCCCCCTTCCCCAATTGCACCCCCTCAGACGGAGCAAAAGTTAATTGCGGGTATGGTTGTTATGTATTGAAACCTCCCCAATTAAAATCTGCAAATGAAAAGCCTCTACATGTCATTTGAACCAAGTTATATGACTATTACAATGGAGCTGTATTTTTCTCAGTGTACATTTGTGGCTGTGGATAAAGTCACAGCCCTACGCTATTAATGGTCATATTGCTGATTACTCCATAAAATTACCTTTTCAATGATAATTGCTACTCTTCCTATTTAAATTGTATTAGACATTCCAAACAAAATATCTGCCCCTTTGAAATGACAGGCACATGATGGGTTATAATATGGCAACACTGTAAGCCTGGTGGTTTTATAGGGTCAATGATATGGACAGTTATAGATTGATCATCCATGGTTTTAAAAATAAACATAAGCTTATGCCTTGAAGTAAAAATGTAGGCAACTATTTTTTTTTTAAATATTCAAAGGCTGAATATTGGTTTTGAACGAGGGGCAAATCACTCTTTGTAAAAATGTACATGTATTGCCGAATTCATATGATTTCCGCAATCATATGGCGATTTCTGGATGACTGCGGCGATTTCTAGATGACTGCGGCGATTTCTGGATGACTGCGGTGATTTCCACATGACTTCCGACAGATTTCCCGTGACTGCGGTGATTTATGTATTGACTGCAACGATT